CGTCTGCCTACATGCGCTTTTATGTCTTTGACAACCACAGTATTATGCAGGCTTTTACTGGTTATCCTCCAGGTTGCTGCAAAGAGCTATCATCGATGCCGTTGACCATTCAATGAGAAACTCTACGTTCAGCTGACTTAGATCAATACCAGCCACAGTTGTAAAAGCAGCAGCGGCGCCGGAGAGGAGCGTAATTTAGAGCCAGCGGAATATAATGTATATATCAGTATGTCAATCTCGATGGGAACTTAAATCGGTAAAGCGGGAAGCCTGTGCAGCGAACAAGGATGCTGTGCAAACCCTGAAGATTAATACAAGAACTAGGAAATAATATCGGATCGTCTAAAGCTGTAGCGACTAAACTAAACGCGGATATTGTAGTTCAAGAAGATGAAAATAAAAACGGTTCCGTCAGATATTAAGATTGTGCCTGGGTCGGTGTCGATACCACAATTTGATTAATTTGAGAATATAGGATATATGCGGGAAAAGGAGAGAAGGAGAGCATCTGTTGTACTAACGTTCGCTTACTCATCATTGAAATTAGGCTGTGATGACATCAGTGAGAGAACGAGTGCACTTAACCGAGAAGTTAGTTATTCGCAAATCTTAAGCGGCTGCCACCTACTGAACAGAAAATATGAAGGGATTTTTGCGTCGCAAATACACTACAGAGTGGGTTGTTGGGACGCACAAACCCTCAGGCCTCTGTGACGTCGAATTTGTCTCGTAAAGAGCCAGATACAGCATACCTTCAGGTCGGGTGACGATAATGGAACAGGCGAAAAAACATTCTTAGAGGGGATTTCAGGTGTTCGTTTATTCCTAAAGGGTCGTGGACGAAGCATCTTCCAAGACCAATGGTGTTATCCCTGGTCATTAGGATGATCCCAGTTCTAAGTTAGACACACAGTAGGCCAAGAAAGGACCGACTTCCGTCCCTTGGTCGATGATGCATTATTAATATGTTATACGCATAACGATTTAAAGAAGTCAGCATGTTTAAAAGTCAGCCTGGATACTGTCGTAAAACCCGATGCAAAATCTCATGATCAACTATTATCACCCTTTTATTCTTTTGAAAAAACAGATTGGTCTAATGGAAAATTTTGTAAGATTTTCCCTACCCGGATAAACAGCTGTTCCTGATAACATTGGATGGTGATGGAGATTGACGACTTTGGAAGCTATCCAGCCGGTGATATTGATGACTTTCCAACATTTCTTCCCGACGAATCAGCAATGCATTTTCGGGATAAATTTCGATACCTAATTTACACCATTGTAATGCAAAATTGACGCAGTCTATTTGAAATCCACAGTGGCATATGGAAGGGGGGTTTAAATGGATATCGCGAAAGCATTATTTGAGGGCTGCTGTGCAAGCAATGAAGGAAACTTATCTCATGTGATTGTGTCCAAAGAAACTGATAAACCCAATGCAGCGAAACAGTATTCACAATAAGCTTAGATTTACCACAATTATGACGAATTGAACAGTTTTCGTTTCATGGAGAAATCCCAATCAAACCGCGTTCCCAAATGGGTTGCAGCGCAAGCTAATCAGTTGCTCGTGACCAATCGGTCGGCCTGCTAGTGACTGCCGGGATGTGGTAGGTTCGGGACCCTCCGGAGATCACACTATAGATGATTCTCAGTAAGGATACATCAATTGCCTCACATAATGATTAAATCACGATTTGAAACCTCAAACATTGTACTCCAGCTCCGAGGCAGCCAAAATTAATAACTAGTTAGTTGCCGTGCACAAATTCAAGCAAGAAACTAACGGGACACAAGCGAATATGTCAGAATCAACATATTGGACAGGGATAGGGCATTCAAATGTTTTTTAGACCTGTTACTCCACTAAGTATGCAGAATCCTAGGAACTCCGCTTGCAATCATTTGCCTCTATGTTACACTCCGCCTGTTACCACTCATTTACTGTTATTTATATTTTCCTTCAGGCGAACGTTTATCACGCCTATCACATTTTGCGTGCAAGCAAAATTCCAGCGGAGAATATAACTACCATCGCCTACGACGATATCGCCAACAATCTCAAGTAAATATTACGAACAATGTTTGTCATATGATATTAATTAGATGGTAGAAATCGCTATCCGTTATTCGGTTTTATATTCTCCTATTTCTGAGTCGTAAATTTCACGTATACAAACTATGAATATAATTGGGTCGAAGAAAATTGTTTCAATGCGTAACTCGAGATGTACCATAAAGTTTCCAACTTTTAATGACATTTCACGACACCATACTCCATTTACGCTGATTCAATCACCACAACTGATACCAGCTCAAAATGCAATAACTGCAGTATACCCTACCTGATGAATATGAAATTTCAACTTCGTTTCGATTGTCAGTAATCTGAATTACTAACATCGATGCCCATATGTTGTTTAAGGGCATCATACGGCTGCTTTGGAGCAAATAGTAAACGGACAGCCTAATAGACTTATCATTTTGTAATACAACCAATTGCTGGGATTAGTGGCGGAAACATTTGAAAGATTTTTTCTTGCTTGGAGGCTGTAAAAATCGGAAGTGGTTCACTGGCTAATTAAATTGCATTCAAGTGCAGTGGGTGAGTGTATGCTCACATAATTTGTTACTACTGGTGTTTACCTGTATATTCACATAAGAAAATTACCTTTTCACACAGAATGTGTAATGTTCTACGTTCCCTACCTACCGGAATTGTTGTGGGATATATATACACCAGGTATAACTTAATTTAGAGTGTGCCACACTGTTCCATACGGAACCTACGAACATTTCGTTTCGCATATTTGACACTTATGGTAATTTCTTGATTCTTTTATCCCAGGAATCCGTTCAAAGGCAAAGTGTTCCATGACTACGAGGACAAAGATGTTTACAAGTGTGTGGTAATTGACTATCGTGGAAAAGTATGTTCATGCGTAGTAATTAAATGAATTTGTTCACCGTGTAACACAATGTGCAAGTAACATGATACTGCGTATAAAAACACAATATCAACCGTAGGGCTACCTAAGCAGTTTAACTACATTACATTTGCTTGAACGAACACTAGGTGATAGAGAACACTCAAGTAGCCCACGACCGATTTCATACTTCTGCTTGTGGCCTGCCAAGTAATCTTACAGTGTATTGACGGAATTTTCACAGTCTAGTTCTCGGCACGAAGCTTCTAAGCTAGCGTTCCTGACAAACCAAAAACCACGGGTGTGTAGCGTGCATCATTGCCTGAAACCAGACAGAGATCTTCGTTCCTAAAGAGTATGGTCTAGTTCTCGGCACGAAGCTTCTAAGCTGGCGTTCCTGACAAACCAAAAACCTTGGGTGTGTAACGTGCATCATAGCCTGAAACCAGACAGAGATATTCGTTCATGAAGAGTATGCGTCGAATGTCTTCTGGAAATTGTGGTGTCTTCCGGATTCGCCATTGAAATGCAGCATTCGATGGACACTGAATCAGTATTGACTTTGTTTTAAACAGAGTTCGTCTTGGAAACTAGCCATGCTCGTCGACCACATCAAAAATCACGTTTTAAGTTTCCATCATTTAGCAACCGTCCCGATAGTATTCTGAGTGAAGATGGAGAGCAGACCCTAGATTTTCAATTATTTGCTAGACTGTAAGTGGATGGTTACTGGCAGTAGAATAAGTGTGGAAATCACCAGTGTCACAGATATAACTCATTATGCGTGTTTATCTGTTTCAGGACGTCAAACCGTATATCTCCACGATGGTAATGACAGGCGACAAAAGACTTGGAAAGGAAGGGAATAAAGTGTTGAAATGGTTAGTACGCGTGGAAGAAGACATTGCTGATGCGCTTGCTGATCACAGCCGGAATTGGCAGGTGAGCGTTTTCGGATTCACGAAACGCGTGTTTAGTATTCTCGTAAGCCATGTGGTACATAATCTCTTTAAGTAAAGCTCCCTGAGGGTAGTCAAAACAGATTTGCCACACTGCAAATGAATCCAGGTTTATCAATTCTACACTGTAGGCAATTATCATATCGTGGGCATCAATCGCCACTGTTAACAATTTCCGTAAATATTCAGATAGGCTCAGTTGTGAATGGTCAAACATTTGCCCCGTCCTGTACAACTAGGGGTTTGTCGATCTTCGTTTGCTCGGATTCAAGATTTGATTTTGCTGATTGTGTTGCCTCAAACCTGAATAATGGATAATCGAAATATACTAGCAGTTCCTTTGACTGGTTGAATGCTAGATCCTCAATTCCTGGTAATAATCTCAGCTTTTAAAATACCTGCCTCGCTTTAGGTTGCGTGTGATTTGATAACGTCACTGTTCATCTTTTGAGAATCTCTTCACGGTTTCTTGAACCGAATATGAACATAAATGAAACACCCGGCTTACGGAAGCAAGCCATGAGCCCCAAAAACGTGTGTTCACTTACAAATCATAAATATCCCATTCCGTCATCTATACACTGTATGGAATCGGAATTGCCACTCACTCCGGGACCACCCAATCGTTGCGCGTGTTAATCGATTCGGAAATTCTGATCCTGCAACTCGTTTGTTGAGATTGGGAAAAGTCACTTGCAAGATGAAAAGAGTGTTATCACCGCAAACTACTTTCACGCAAACAAACTTCGGAAAATCAGGGTGCAGCACAAAAGTAAATCAGAACTTTCCACTAAAATGAACTACAGAAATCAGAAGTCGGATTGTGAGCTAATCATATGTGAGAAAGGCAACCATGTCACAATAGTAATCGGCAACCGATCACTCAGACCATGAACAAACGGTAACACAAAAGAAAATCAGAACTTACCACTAAAATGAACCGCAGAACTCAGAAGCCGGATTGTGAGCTAATCAAATGTGAGCCAGGAGACCGTGTCCCAATAATAATCGGCAACCGATCAATCAGACCATGAACAAACCGTACGCAGACAGAATACACTGGACGTCAGGAAATGCAGATAATATGCAGCAACCACATTTTCAGACATAATATGCCGTTGGGCATATTCTGGGGATACAGCGGACAGATGGAAGAACTGTCGATCCAATCATTCACCCATGATAACACTTCGGTTGGTGACGGAACATTTGCAGGCCGATCATCGGGATCAGAGTGCAGATGAGCAACGTTTTGTTCAAAGACCAACAAACCCAACATATGGATGGATTCGTGGATGTCCGTGTTCGGAACATAGGTTCGTCTCATCTCGATTATAATATGATTTCTTCGTCGTGAATAAACCATGGATTTATTTTCATAAGCCAATTTAATTGGGATGGTCAGTCCGGGATTTGTAAACGGCTGGGTTTCACAGTTCCAATGGCAAGCTGATAAGACTTCCTAAAGTGGAAAACTGACTTCTACCACCATGGCGCCACAAAGGTGCTACCATTTTGCGTGATACAACAGCAAACCAAACGGCGTTCAAAAAGTACATTTTCCACTTCCATATTCATGCGGCCATACAAATAGCACACAAATGGGAGTTAATTTATCAACTGATTATATACAGTAGCGTGTACCTAACAATATTCTGACCTGCGTTTTCGTTATCCATTTACTTCGTTCGTGTTGAGTGCTCGAGGGATAGGCAGCACAGGAATTGTGCAAATGAATAACTGAAAGTTGAAAATATTTTTCCTAAACAACATAATCGTGTGCCACAGACAGAAATGTATTGTGGAATTTTTATACCTTTCTGATTTCCGTAATCATCAGTTGGTCAATGCACTTTACGGTACAACATAGCTTCTGCAACCTATGAAATCCCCACATTTTTGGGAACGTTACAATGGAGTTTCCGTTTCAGCGTCCTTTTTTGTTTTGCTTTCCTGTGCGCAAGACCGCCACCCAATAAGGTACTAAACTCGATCACCTTAACTTTCCCGTACACTTGCAGCGGCCCTGATGAAAACGTTTTCAACTATTACACTGGCCATGCTTTCCGTAACTATATTACCTTCCCGGAAGGAGATGTAAGTTTTGATATAGCACACGGCCATTCAATAGGAGGCTAAATTGTGAATGCAGTGAAGATGCGAATTGTCACACGTGGTTCTTTATAAAACAGTTTATAGTTACAACCAACATAGACATTCCCCGAATGATGGAAGAGAAGCTACCACGTTCGGGCGTCTCATTCTCTCAAGTTCGGCAGGCTGCGTGAAGGTGCCATATTTATAAAATTACATAGATTTCGTTTGTTTCAGTTCAAGGTTGCTCAACACACATGATTCAACGGTTGATCCCTTTAGACAGTTGAACAAGCCTTGGTAGGACAAACAAAGAACCTCTTCGTACACGGTCACTCAGGAGGCGTTGATGGTATGAAGGTAAGTTGCTCTCATTTTTACGAGTCGGGGGATAGCGCGAATCACTGCTGGTATCAATAGGTCCTCGTGTACTATGTATGAGATTGCAGTCTGTGACGAGCAGTCGGGAACACAATTGCTCCATCCGTATTGGGAATCATCAGTGGTGCGCACTGTAGTTGCAAAATTTAAATGTCTGGCCATGGGGGCCAACCGACAGCCTGATTTAGCCGCAGTCGGCCATTATGCTACACCCCCATCATTCAATCCAGGATACCACATCACCACTGACTTACTTTTGGAATTACATCTCATAGAAAAGTCATTCGTTGTTTCTTCCGTACTGATTACTGTGCGTAAGTAGTGAGACGACATTCGAATTATTTCAATTAAATGGAAATCATTCTAAATTTTCGGCAAACGTGATTAGGGCTAGAAGTATCTCCACAAATTGTCTTCACCAACAGGATGTCATATCACTTCTCAACGAGCAGTACACGAGTTATGCTGCTATTTACTTATCTCAAGGCTGCATTTTTTCTAGTGCGGACATACTGTACAGGGGTATCATTTGCATTTTCCAAAAAACTCAATAATCCTCCACCAATAATCTTTCCAGCTCACGAATTTTCTTTCTTGCCTTGTGACAGCTCAATGCCGCGCAACTGAATGATGTCGTCCTCCACTTGCATAAAAAGAAAAGTATAATAAACTCGTGTTTACATGGATGATTGCTACTCTGGGTCTATGTTTATGGATCTTATTCCTCCAAATGTGGGTACCAAGTAGCGTAATTTTTTTTGCCTGGCTCTCTTGGGGATCCTCTGAGTTATCATACTGAATTTCCCTCATGTATGGTTGAAATACCGCCATGGCCAGTTGAACTAAACGAAGATCCAAGCATGGTTCATCCTTGATCTCTTGTGATCATAGAATGTACGTAGTCTCTGGTCATCTGCAAGAAGCCTTTATCCAGATAGTCAACAGCATCACACGTTTATCGAATAACGTCTCCTCTGCTGCTGGACTAGATTCAGCTGGTTAAAAGTCACTGTAATATCGGTGCAACACATGTGATATTTGGGGTCCTATTGTTGCGACCAACATTCTCAGGTGGATGTAGTATTTGCAACTTAGGAATAGATCGTGAGTCTTTCATAAAAGGTACACTTTCACGGGACAAACAACTGGTATGATACCAGTGACGTGACCAAATTTTTACCGTTCTCGTCAGTGATCGATTCTGACGGGGTTCTACCAGAGGAAATCATTTTATATATCTACATACGTATGTGGTTTGGACTGCCTGACCCAAACATGTTTGACGAGCTCCGTCCAGTCTTGTTCCAAGAAGCGATTATGCTTGAGAGAGATTAAAGGACTGCGCCTTTTCTGATTGACCCTACGGAGCGCGAAAACCATGGTTTTCTGCCACCGATTTTTCATCGAGCTTCTGTTTAGTGTGCTGGTTTTCGAATTCTGGGACCTTCGCGATTTCTGTGAGTCAGAGTACAAGCTGCCTCACTTTTTCACAAGTTACCAATCTATACATTCTCCTGTTTGTACTCTCTAAAACTGCAGTCTTCGTGACAAAATCAGCCAACGAGAAGG